TTCACAGTAGCCACAAATGACATAAAGTACCTTGGTGTAACCCTAACCAAGCAAGTCAAAGACTTGTATGAAAAAAATTTCAAGTCTCTGAAGAAAGAATTAGAGGAAGATATGAGAAGATGGAAAGATCTCCCATGCTCATGGCTTGGCAGGATTAACATAGTAAAAATGGCCATCTTACCAAAAGCAATCTACATATTTAATGCAATTCCCATCAAATTGCCAACACAATTCTTCACAGACCTGGAAAGAAAAATTCTCAACTTCGTATGGAATAACAAGAAACCGAGAATTGCTAAAACAATCCTCTACAATAAAAGATCTCCTGGAGGTATCTCCATCCCTGATCTCAAGCTGTACTATAGAGCAACAGTTATAAAAACTGCATGGTACTGGCATAGAAACAGAATGGTGGATCAATGGAATGGAACAGAAGACCCAGAAATAAACCCACACACTTACGGACACCTGATTTTTGACAAAGATGCCAAAACCATACAATGGAAAAAAGATAGCATCTTCAACAAATGGTGATGGTCCAACTGGATGTCTACATGTAGAAAAATGAAAATAGATCCATACTTATCACCCTGCACAAAACTGAAGTCCAAGTGGATCAAAGACCTCAACATAAAACCAGACACATTAAATCGGCTAGAAAAAAAAGTGGGGAATACCCTAGAACTCATTGGTACAGGAGAAAACTTCCTGAACAGAACACCAACAGCACAGGCTCTAAGAGCAACAATCAATAAATGGGACCTCATGAAATTGAAAAGCTTCTGTAAAGCAAAGGACACCTTCATCAAAACAAAGCGACTGCCTACAGATTGGGAAAGAATCATCACCAACCCTTTATCTGACAGAGGACTCATATCCAATATATATAAAGAACTAAACAAGCTGAAAAGCAACAAACCAAGTAATCCACTTAAAAAATGGGGAACAGAGCTAAAGAGAGAATTCTCTGCAGAGGAATATCGAATGGCAGAGAAGCACTTAAAGAAATGCTCAACCTCATTAGCCATTAGGGAAATGCTAATCAAAACAACCCTGAGATTTCACCTTACACCCATGAGAATGGCCAAGATGAAAAACTCAAGGGACAACACATGCTGGAGAGGTTGTGGAGAAAGGGGAACCCTTCTCCACTGCTGGTGGGAATGTAAACTGGTACAACCACTCTGGAAATCAATCTGGCGCTTTCTTAGACAACTAGGAATAGCGCTTCCTCAAGATCCAGCCATACCACTCCTAGGCATATACCCAAAAGAGGCACAAGTACACAAAAAGGACATTTGCTCAACCATGTTTGTAGCAGCCTTATTTGTATAGCCAGAAGCTGGAAACAACCCAGATGCCCCTCAACTGAAGAATGGATGCAGAAACTGTGGTACATCTATACAATGGAGTATTACTCAGCAATGAAAAATAAGGAAATCATGAAATTTGCAGGTAAATGGTGGGACCTGGAAAGGATCATCCTGAGTGAGTTGTCCCAGAAGCAAAAAGACACGCATGGTATATACTCACTCATATAAACATACAACATAGAATAAACCCACTAAAATCTGTACATCTAAACAAACTAAGCAAGAGAGAGGACCCTAACTAAAATGTTCAATCCCCATCCTGAAAGGCAAAGAGGATGGACATCAGAAGAAAAAGAAAATAGGAAACAACCTCGGAACCTGCTACAGAGGGCCTCTGAAAGCCAGAAGAAAACAGGAAACAACCTTGAAACCTGCCACAGAGGGCCTCTGAAAGCTTCTGCAGTATAGACTGTCAAAGCAGATGCTGAGCCTGATGGCCAACTGATGGGCAGAGTGAATGGAATTTTATGTAAGAAGTGGGAAATAGTAAGAGCTGGAGGGGACAGGAACTCCACAAGGAGAGCAACAGAACAAGATAATTTGAACACAGGGAACTTCCCAGAAAATCATACTCCAACCAAGGACTATTCGTGGAGATGACCTGGAACCCCTGCACAGGTGTAGCCCATGGCAGTTCAGTGTCCAAGTGGGTTACATAGTAATGGGAAGAGGGACTGCCTCTGACATAATCTGAATTGGCCTGCTCGTTGATCACTTCCCCCTGAGGGGGGAGCAGCCTTACCAGGCCACAGTAGAGGACAATGCAGCCACTTTTGATGAGAACTGATAGACTAAGATCAGAAAGAAGAGGAGAACCTCCCCTATCAGTGGACTTGGGGAGTGACATGCATGCAGAAAGGGGAGGGAGGGTGGGATCGGCAGGGGAGGAGGGAGGGGCTTATGGGGGGATACAAAATGAATAAAGTGTAATTAATAAAAAATTAAAAAAAAAAAGAACCACACTGTCAGGTTTTGTTACAAAAAAATAAGGCCACCATTCTGGTATCATGGTTTTTTGTTTTTGTTTTTTGTTTTGTTTTGTTTTCCTGCTTGAGTTTAAATGTGCATTGCTGTGATCAGAATACATAACAGCGAAACTTAAGGTAAGAGAAGTTTGTTTTTGTTTATATTTTTAGATGAATTTCAGCCCATCTAAAGGTATGATTAGCAGGAAGAATTATGTCCATGGGTGGGAGTGTGTGTGGAACTCTTCGCTTGACAGTGGGCCAGGATGCAGAGGGAGAATGACTAGAACCAAGGAAGTCTAGCTTTCAGAAGCCTGTTCTCAGTGGCCTGTTTCTGCTAGCTAAGCCCCACCTTATCAGTGGCTCTACAGTTCCCTTAAACAGCATAATTAATTGAAAAAGCACTCCAACACGTAGCCTGTAGACAATATTTTAGATTCAAACCATAAGTGTATGACTGTATATCAAATTTACCCTGATATTTCAGAAAGCTTAAAGTATTCCTGATACTTAAAGAATTACAGGACTCTAAGCAACTGCAAACTACTTCACTGAACATTTGGGCTAAGGCAATCCTCCACTGGGACTCTTAACAATATGTTCATGAAGGAGTAAGTCATTCTTTTCTACCAAAGTACGTAAACCCACAATGACCTCATGAGAATGTAGACCTCAGAAGAGTGGAAAAGACATATTGGCTTACTTTTCATGTAGGCCGTCACCATAGCCATAGTCACCATACGTCCATAACTAAGCTTGTGGAAAGTGTCTGTGAGGTCACAGATGCCTGTGGGTAAGACCAGGCCTGGAGGGCTCTGTTACAGTCTTCAGTAAGTTATGTTATCTCCTTTATTATTCTTTTCCTCTGTAAATCTCAGATGATTATGTTATCAACACTTCATATATTTATTCTGTGACTAGAAATGAGTTCATGCCCCCAAAGTTCTTAGAAAACTGCCTTGTTATCCTTATTTATTTTAGGACAAATAGATGAACAATAATACAAGTCAGTGAGCTCCTCTTTTTTAAAACTGGACATGGTGGTGGATGCCTAATTCCAGCATTTCAGAGACAGGAAAGAGGATCAGGACTCCAAGGGCATCCTCTGCTACAGAGTGGATATTTTGAAATCAACCTGGGATACATCCTGCCTTCCAACCCAAACAACTAAACAAATAAACATACAAACAACCTCCCCCCAATAAGCGGAGGTCAACAGAAGATGGTGTCATAGTATACATTGAGATGGGTCATGTGAGCCCAGTAGGTCAAGCCCAGACTAGGAAACCTAGCAGAACTGGCTAAAAAAATCTTTAAAAGACAATGAGATGGGAAAACAGAATACCAGACAAAGTAGAACAGAAAAATGGTGAGTCTCATTGTGTTTGCTGAATAATAACAAGGGAGCAAATTTTTTGGTAAGTGCCAGGCACTGGTCAAGTTATCAACACAGTATTTACAGACTGACAGTATTAGCAATGTCCTTATTCCAGGAAGCAAAAGGGTTCTGATTTACTCTGCTGGTAGTGAGACAATGAACCAGTCAGGACTTGAACATAGACAATTGAATTCCAAAGTCAGTATGTTGAGTTATTATTACAACCCATGTGTACCCACTGTCTCTTATGATTTCAATATTTGAGTCTAATAAGAGAGGGTATCCTATTTCATTTGTAACCATCAAGATCATCAAAATACCTATTGTAAGGGCTAATCTTTAATACCAACTTGGATTAAGAAGCATCTAGGATATTAGTTAAAGCATACATCTAGGTATGTGTTTGTGAGGGTTTTTGTTTTGTTTTTATTTTTTAGAGAGGATTGACTAAAGAGATAAAACCTATCCTGAATGTATACTTAGTCTCTAGTTGAAAGAAGGAAAAAGGGATACTCACTCACCCAGATATCCTCTGCTTGCTAGCTGCCAGGATGTGAGCTACACCCTCCCTGACACAAGGGACAGAAGCCTCTGAAAACAATGAAGCAGAACAAATCTTTCCTCCCTTAATTTTCTTCTATTGGGGTTTGCCACAGTGACTGACTACCATACCTATTGTTTCCTGGGTGGATGCTATGGCAGGCATTACAATCATTGTTCTCCGAAAGTATGTAGAAGCTAATGTTCACAGAAGTGCAGAAACATGCCCATAGTTGTGTATGCAGCAGAGATGAGCACAGGTCTCCTTATTGGGAAAACATTTCCTATTTCTATACTAATCTTTTAAATACTAAATTTTTAAATTTAGCATATTATACATGTAACCCTCCTTACCTGTAGGTTCCGCATTCATGGACTCATACAACCATGAATTGGAAGTTTGTATGTCTTTCTGTGTATGTGTACATGTGTCTGTGCCTGTGACTACTCTTGTGAGGACGTGATCCTTTCTGCGCTGAACAGTACAAACTTTTTTTGCTCATTATCACACCAAAGAAGTGTGGTGGTTTGGATGAAAATTTCTTCTGCAGTGTCAGGTACTTGGACACTTGGTCCCCAGTTGGTGGGGACCAGTTTTGGAAGTAGGACAGCCTTGCTGGAGGAGGTACATCACTGGGGTGGGCTTTGAGAGGTCAAATAGACTTGACCCACTTCCAGCTCACTCTTCCTGCTTCTCATTTGTGGCTGAAGCCATCTCTCTGCTTTTTGCTCCTTTTGCCATACTTGCCACTTACTGTCATGTCTTCCAAAGAGATGATGGTCTCATCTCTTTGACACTGTAAGCCAGAGTAGACTCTTCTTCCACAAGTTTCTGCATAAGTCATGGTGCTTTGTCACAGCAACAGAAAAGTAATAGTAAGTCTATGATTCAAATGGTACTGGAAAGTATGTGGAAGTATATATTCAAAAATAAAGTCATTTTATGCAAGAGCTTGAGTATCTGGGGATTGTGGTATTCTTGAGTGAAGTTGGAAGGAGCTGATATGGAACAAATCAACTGTACTTATTAGCATGGTATCATGATGCTACAGGCTTTGCAACCCCCTTTTCAGGTTTGAAAAGTTTTAATTACAGAAGCACTGTCAGTAACTGGAATGGTGTTTTTTACATTTTAGTTAAAAATGAACATTATATAATCCTAGGACTTAATCCAAATGCATTGATTCAGATTTCCAGGGGTCAGGCTCAGATGCTACATTGTTAAGATGCTTAAGGTTCTGATGCAGGTTCTCTGAAGACCGTACTTTGAGGGCACTGTGGAGGATGCTATGTCAATAATCTTGGTATTTAAGCTTTCTGGGAGAAGTTTTACTACAGTGGCATTGTCAGTACCGTAGAGTTTACCACCTCTTATTTCTTACCCACCATCATTACTTTAGCTGATGGCAAGCACATAGGTAAGAACTTTGAACAGCATGTACTCTACCTCCTGCTGTGCTGAATGTGATTATCTACTATGGTCCCTTTCCACTGATGACCATGTAGCTCAACAAGTCTACAAGGTCAAAATTGATTTTAGTGTGTAATATTTGTGATACATGTAATAATTGTGATACAAGGGAGCATTGGTTAAATCCTATTGCTTGTGTTAACTTTGTTCTCCTCATCTGTTTACAGAACTTCTTTTCAATGTTTCAATATAACATTGTGCCAGTATATGGCCAATCTTGAAATATCTATTTTTGGTTATCATCAGTGCATAATACAGCCTTCACGTTGGAGAGGAGTAAAATAGAATTATTATGCTGAGGGTAAAGGAAGAATTATCATTTCTTAGGGGAGGGGAATAGGGAATATATGATTAAAAGGTCTTGTATGGAATAATAATAATAATAAAATTGACTTGAAGTCTATTTTGTCATATATTAGAATAGTAACATGTGCCCCTGGAATTTCAACTGAGCCATTTTGATCAGGGATCATTAGTATGGGCTTTGTAAGTTTTAGTGAAGACAATTACCTTATTTATTTTTTTCATGTTACCTCTGTCTTTGTGATGGGATCTGCCCATCTAAAGTTAGACCATTAGTTAAGACTTGTTGGTTTTGTTCTTTTAATTCATGTTGCTTCTTTCTTTTAGTGGATTCATTTGCAGTGTTCAAGAGAGACTGGGTTGTAATATAGTTGTGATGATATGTCCGTGTTCCAGGCATTTCACTTCATCTTCAGTCTGTCCCTAGGGGTTCAGTATTGTCTGCAGCAACCACGAACATTCAGTATTTAATCCACTCTGATAATAGAGTAGCAGATGACTTCAAAACAAACTCTTGTTTTGGGAGTAAAGAGACCCTAATGATACTGTGTCTAGTTAATATGTTAGTATAAATGAAAAAAAAAATGAAAGAAAGAAAAGAAAAAGAAAAATGAATTTAAAAAAAAAAAGAAACAAACACAAAAAGAAAAGAAGAGGTAAGCAATTAATTACCATGAGACCAGAGATGAGTATTGAGTTATATCGGAAGTAGAGGGGAAAGACATACACACAGGGGCGGAAATAATTGAGGCAAAGTAAGAATAGGGTGGATATGTGGCATTTTGGTTAACAGGCTATAAAAAGGGGATCAGCGTCTGGGTTTTAGGAGATAAAACAGTAAGAGGAATGAGTAGGTGGAAGAGAAAGGGAGAAAAGAAAGAAGGGAAAAAGAAAAAGAGAGGGAGGAAGAAAAACAGGAAAATGAAAGAAAAAGAGTGAGTTGGAATCAGAGAAAGGGGTGGGAAGTGCTTACCAGCAAAAAAGTGTGTGAAACAGCCAAAGGTGAAAACAGTATCTTGCTTCAGCACTCTCCTGCACTATACAGATAAGAAGATAAGTTAAAGCAGGGTGGGGAGGGCTGGAGATAATAGAATCACTGGCTGATAAGAATAGCTGTAGTGGTAGAGGTGAAGAGATGGCTTCACAATTAAAAGCACTTGTTGCTTTTCCAGAGGACACGGATTTAATTCTCATCATCCAGATGGTAGTCACAACCATCCACATGGCTCTTCTGACCTCCAAGGACACTAAGCATGCATGTGGTACACATAGATACATGACAACAAAACCCCCACACATAAGGTAAAAAGAATATAAAAACTAAAAAAATAGCTATAGTGGGGAAGGAGGGCTGGGTGGAAATATAAGAAAATGAGATTACTGGTCTGAATGTAGATCTCCTCTTCTTGGCTGATACACAGCTTTGCTAGCTTAGTCCAGGTCTAGTCTGTGTTCCTCCTACATTTGCACATTCCCATTCTTCTCTTGTGGGCTCCAAGTTCCACTCATGCCTATTATGTTATGCAGGCAATTCGGTTGGCCTTCCCTCGGGACCTTTAGGGTTCTAATAACACCCTGTGTCAGTGCCTGCATCCTGTGACATCATCTGGGCCAGGTACTTAATGACCGGTCTGCCACTCCTGTTCTCTTTCTCTTCTCTTGCTGTTGTTCTCTGCCCTTCTGCTTTCTCCTTTCTCTGTTGGGGCAGCCCTTCCATCTCTCTCTCTCTTTCTCCATCTCCATCCAATAAACTTCTTTCATATAGTATCTGTTGTGTGCATGGCATTTTTACATAAATACTAACAATGCATGCTTTCTGTTCTCTGGCACGTTGATAGCTGAGGCTATCAACTGCCCAGGCTTAGTTGCTTTGTTCTCACAGTCTGGAGTAGCTGATGGTTGCATGTAGCCACAATCAATATTCATACTTTATGCTTACCTCCCAACAGCTTTGCCTTTCCTTTTAGAGTGCTGATGGTGGCCTTGGAAGTAGTCACTGGGAACCTCTTCTGTGAAATCCCTAAGGCCCAGCTTTGTAGAGCTTCTGGTCAGTCATTTAGCCCAGTTTGCCTGGAGGAAAATACTCCTGTCAGTGGGGTAAGACAGGTCCTGTTGTAGATAGTTTGTGGCCAGATGGTAGAAGGGGTTGTTTGAGATGTTAAGCAAGTCAATTCCAGGTCTGAAGAAGCAGCTGATGGAATGATAAAACATTCTTGTTCCCTTTCTTTTTTCCTAGTTTGTAGTCAGCTACTCTATCTGATGTAGCTTCTAGTCTATTATTATGGGGCCTCAGAGCCATGAGATTAGGGGAAGCTGGCCTGAAGCAAGAATGGGGTCCAGGCATGTCCAAACCCTGGAAATATCGTCCTGAGATGGGCAGGAACTGAATCACCTTCCCCCTCTTCCTGGCCCCCACCTTCCCCCTGGGGGCCTTTGAGTCCTAGCTGTGCACCTCCACCTAGTCGGTCCTGTAGCTCTGTAACCAGGTAAAGCTTCTTTTTCCCTTATAAGATGTCCAGCAACACCTGGAACTAATTCCTTCTCATGCAAATAAGGCATCCCCAGCATCCTGGTCCTGGGTCAATAATGTCTATTCACCTTGAAAGCCCCTACCACCCACCCAAAGGTTTAAGTAACATTTGTTCCCCCAATTAAACTCATTGAAGCTATCTCCCATGAAGTCTGTTTCTTACTATACTCACAGCCACCTGAGGTCTCTTTTAAACCTCTCCCCTCCACCTTCCCCTCTCAGGATCCACCAGTTGTGGGTTGATCTCACCATAACAGGTTGGGAAACAGCCTGAACAGCACACTAACTTACCCCAAAATCATTTTTACTTTTTATGAATATTTACCTGCATGCATAGCCATGTACCACATGCTTATTTGGTGCCCATGGAGGCCAGAAAAGGGCACTGGATCCTCTAAAACTAGAGTTTCAGACTACTGTGAACTGCCCTGTTGGTGCTGGGAACCAAACCAGGATTCTTTGCAAAACTAGCAAGTGCTTTTAGTCCCCGAACCATCTACTCTGCTGCAGTAAGTAGGTTTTTGTTGTTGTTTTTTTAAAATAAAACATGGGACTTGTGAGATGGACAGCTCAGCACATAAAGCCTGACATCAGGAGTTCTGCCCAGAGACTCACTTGTTGGAAGGAGAGAACTGACTTTCAGAAGTTGACTTCTGACACAAGTTTTCCTTTGACTAACACACAAGCTCTTTGGTATTGTTAAACCTGGAAATTCAAGAAGAAAGACCAAATCTATGACTGTCCAATGAAAGTAAGTTTTCTTCTAGAGGCGTACCTGGAATTGGCCAGCTGGCTGTCACACCCTGTTGGGCTTTGAGAGATCAGCCCCTTACTGGCTGTCGAGGTCCCTTTTATTAGGAAAAGTTAAGGTTAATAGAAAACAGCTGTACTCATGTTTATAAGGGGGAGATAATTGATTGTTAGAAAAAATAATTAAATGTAAGAATAAAAGCAAGACTAAATACATCATTCCCAAGAGGAGTCATACATTAGGTAGTCACAGGTAGAGATCAAGGTATTGTGAAAACATATTTGGAAGGCAAAGGGCAGCCATACATCATGGAGTCACGAGTTCAGCAAAGTATATCTCACGGGGTCCTGTATCACAGGGTCGCAAGTTCAGTGTTGGTTGAAAACATGTTTTGCAGAGTACAATAGGTTTAGTAAATAGAAATTTATTTTTATCTAGCAATAGAAACCTATTCTTATAGGGTATGGAGACTTAATAACAATATGGTTCCTTAACAAAAATGAGGCTCCTCTATGGTTTCATAGTCTGTGTGTAGTATGCATCCATAATAAATTATTAAGTATAATAAATAAAACAATAACAAAAATACTTTTAAAATAATTCAAAGGCGAAGAGTAGAAATTGTATACCCATCTCCTAAAAGACAGAACTCAATCACAAGCTTATCAGTTTTATTATAATCTTGGATACAATGAAAATGATCATTGTAAATATCCCTTGAAAAATATCCCTTGAAAGAGACATCTGGAATAATGAATGAACTAGTCATAATTATCCTGATTATACAAAG